TTATTAATGTTGACATCTCATACGAATACTTAAATTAACTCGAGGAACCTCGACATATCAAACGTAGAAACGTACATATACACATACTGACACTTGCACACTAACTACCCATCACACATAATAATGTCATAGTACGAATATTTTATAGAAGTTAAATCCTTCCATTGCAAAAGGCGACTATTACAATATCACTTCTTATACCCTTCTACGATGTCTTCATCTAGCTTTTAGACATTTGATTTTCCTCTTGAAACCTTTCCAGAAAAAAAGCATCACATTAAATGGAGAATCTCTCGCAACTTAATATGAGAAGTTTGTCACTACAGAAAACTTTTAATCAGAGTATTTTGTGTTTAGTTTCAGCTTGAAAGTTATTCTCATATAACTTTTGACTATCGTCAATCATAATAGGAGAATTTTACTTAATATCTATTCAATCTATAAAGCAATTGATAAGTACTTCTTCAGCACTCGTCGAAACTGGCCGTGCTAGCTAATAAGATTGAATTATATCACTATGATATACATATTCAACACACCACATTAGTTGGAGAATCTCTTACTCAAAATTATTGGAAGTTTTCTTTTATAACTTTCTAATAAGTGAATATTATTTTTTCTTATAGATTGAGAGTTCTTAATAACTCTTGACTTTAACTGTACATAGTTGGAGAAAAATTATATTTTTACATCTATAAATCTTAAGCAATTGATAATTGACCACCTTAGCTCTGGACGAAACACGTGTCTTGCTAGCTTTTGATTTGATTTTACTTTAAAATCATTTCTACAAACACACCCTAAAAACTATCAGATCATATCGCACACATCGTAACTAACATAAATAAATTGTAGTTAACTCGAAATATGGAAGTTTCTAGAAACCTAACGGTTTTTAAGCGAAAATACCCTGGTATTTAAAGTTAATGATATAGACTTAAAACCATCAGATAATATCGTACACATCCTAACTAACATAAATAAATTGTAATCAAGTCGATATGTCGAGGTTTCTAGAAACCTGACGGTTTTTAAGCGAAAATACTCAGTTATTAAAAGTAAACCATATAGACCTAAAACCGTCAGATGATATCGTACACATCATAACTAACATAAATATATTGTAATCAAGTCGAAATATGGAAGCTTCTAGAAAACTTACGGTTTTTAAGCGAAAACATCCAGTTATTTAAAGTTAATGATACAGAGCTAAAAACCATCAGATAATATCGTTCACATCATAACTAACATAAATAAATTGTATTTAACTCGAAATATGGAAGTTTCTAGAAAACTAAGGGTTTTTAAGCGAAAACTCCCAGCTATTTGAAATAAACGATATATAGCTTAAAGCCATCATACTATATCGTACACATCATGACTAACATATATAATTTGATTTCAATTGAAAAAGCCAAGACTTGTAGAAATCTTACGGTTTTCAATAAAAATGTCCATTTTTTTTTCTCTACGATTTAGATTTTTAATTGATGAGAGAATATAGCACAAATAATAAGTAAGACAAATGTTCGACTTTCATATTAAAGAACACAAATTATTAGACGTGTTTGGTTTTTCTCTCATTGAAAGAATGCTTTCTTTAAGCTTTATTTCTGACGTGAAGTATTGTTTCAAGTTAACTGGCCATTGTTATTTTTTTTTGCGGAATGATAATAAATGTTGGTTTCATATGTAAATTGAAAATACTTCATGTTTAAGTAGAGAATAGTAATGAACAGTAAAGTATTTTCTAAATTATTTAAAGTTAAAATGATATATTCTTGCAAACATAAAACTGGATTTCACATATTCCATTCACATTATTTAATAACAAATTTTTTAGTTTGATATATAACCTTGGATATGATAAATCTAAATTTCAGACATAACAGATAAACGGTCAAAGGTTATTTTTTAGTCATAGTCCATTCATATTTTGTAATGATAATTTTTTTTGTGTCCCCGTTTAAATTTCAACAAGGATCATTGTTCGCTAAATAAGTCTTTTAAGACTGAATATCCATATTACAAATGAACACTCTTGACTTTTATTATATCTAAAAAAAAATAACATGAAAAATCACTAGAAAGTAATGACAAAAAAAAACATTTTAACCCCTGGTTATATACTGGTATGATGTGATATTCTATGGACGTCCTGTGTATACATCTATAGTTCAAGTATGACGTGGTCAACCCCATTGTGTCCTTTAATGTATTATGCCGTGGTGTGTCTCTCTCTCTTTTTCTCTTTCTCTCTATGCTGTCGTCTGTCTTAGGAGAGATCACTCTCCATCGGCTCGACTATAAATAGAGCGAATTTTCATATAATGTATTCATTTGAACATATTCACAACAGCGATAACATCGACTATTCTACTTATCTTATCACTCCGACGAACAATTACATTCATTGTTTTGGTTCAAGATCAGGTCTGTTAATATATTTATACTTTATCTGCTTTCACTTTACTAAAATATTTTCTTATAGATACTATGAAACAACGGCATCAAATTATTCTTCAATAATAACAACAAGTAAGGTTCTCATCTTTATTTTTACAATAATATGTACATATATTTCTCATATATATAATGCTGAGGTATGAATTTTTTTTTCTATTTTTTTTGCTAGAGAGTGATTGAAATTTGTTGATCCGTTAAAATGAATATGTATCCAAATCTTCTGAACATTTATTTGTACATGGTCCCATATCCATGAAGAAAAAAAACAACACCTGGTTATACACTGGTATGATGTGATATACTGTGGACGTCCTACGAATGCATCTATAGTTCAAGTATGAAGTGGTCAACGCTATCTTGTAGTGTAATGTATCATGTCGTGGTATGTCTCTCTCTCTTTCTCTCTAGCTTTATGCTGTCGTCTGTCCTACGAGAGATCACTCTACAACACCTCGCCTATAAATAGACTGAATTTTCATATAAACTATTCATTCAAAGATTTTCACAACAGCAGCAACGTCGACTATTCTACTATTCTCTATCACTCCCACGAACAACTGCATACAATTTCATCATTCATTATCAGGTCTGTTACTATATTTATTAGCTATCTGTTTTCTGTTCACTAAAATATTTTCCACCACATATTATCAAACCAAAAATATTAGATCATTCTTCAACTATAAAAACAATTAAACCTCTGATCATTTTTTTATATTAAAATGGATATATAATTCAACTGTTTACATCCGCGATATCCGAAATTCGATTTTTTTCTTATTTTTTTTCTATCATTATCTGCTAATACACCCATTAACTTGGAGAATATCTTTTATTTTATTGGAAGTTTTATTTATCGTATAACTTTCTAATAATTTAATATTATGTCTTCTATTAGATTTGGGAGTTCTTCTAACTCTTAACTATAGTCGTACATACTAGGAGAAAAATGTTATATTTTACCATCATATATTAGGCAATTGATAAGTACTTCTCTAGCACTTGTCGAAACGGTCTTGCTAGCTACAATATTGATTATATAAAAAATTCTTATTCTATCAACACACCCATTGTTGGAGAATCTCTTCAAAAAATTTGTTGGGTTTTAATTATCTATATTATTTACCCGATAAATATTATTTTGTGAATGATATTAGCTTGAGAGTTTTTCTACTAAACTTTCAACTATTTCTTTCGCAGTAGGAGAGTTATTACTTTGAGTAACATCATATAATCAATCCAAAGCAATTGATAAGTACTTTATTAGCACTTGTCGAAACCGGTCTTGCTAGCTACAATATTGATTATATAAAAAATTCTTATTCTATCAACACACCCACACCCACACCCTCGTGGCAATTGCTTAAATATAACTAAGTAGGAGAATTTAACTAATTGAGTTAACATCTATAAATCATCAGCAATTGATAAAGATTACTTTAGCAGTAATCGAAACGCGTCTCGCTAGCTTTTGATTTGATTTTCGTTTTGAAAAATCATTTCTTCTAACACACCTATACCCACACCCACACTCACGGATTCCGATGGGATCCTTATGAAGTCCTATGGGCTTCGATCGGAATCCGATAGGATCTTAGCGGTCGCTGTCGGATTCTCGTGTCGGATTGATGGACCTGGGTACACACCCCACACCCACACCCTTAAGAGTGATGACATTTCAGCGTTTTATGGAAATAAATAATTTCATGTAGTAAAAGAAGGAAAAACATGTTCATGGAAAGAAGAAGAATTTCAAACAATTTTACCGAAAGTTGATGGTAAAGATTAGTGCCATGAGGCATACAATTTAGTATTTATTTTGTTCTTTTGCCAAGTTTCGTAATTGCATCAATATGGGTTTAATTATCTACATATCTATGAGTGATGATAATTTCTTCACAGGATGGTCTTTTTTCCGGGCTCTTATTCATGCACTTGTTGGCAGTAACTACCCATGATCGAAGTTTTTTGCTATTTTCAACGATTGTATTCGGTAAATATTTTATCGATTCATTAATTGTAACACCCCATGAAAAAATGTCTGCTTTATTTGTTATTAGTTCTAAATTGCCACTCGCGATTTCAGGTGCAGTGTATCCAGGAGTACCCCAAGGCGTTACTGGATCCTGATGTACAAGACCAAAGTCAGCAAGATAGAATGAAACTTCTTCGCCACGTATCTTGAAAAGAATATTCTGGGGTTTAATATCACGATGTGTCAAATCTTGTTGATGAATAAACAGCAAAGCTGTAGTTATCTGAGTAAAAAGTTTTAGCATTAGTTTCTCATTCAGTGTTGACGAATGTTGCTGGAAGTATTTTTTTAAATCTCCATCCAATCGCTCCATGATTATGTAAAATACACTTTCTTCTGATTCTTTTTTCGTAACTCCATAATATTTGATAATATTCGGATGATTAAGTCGATTTAAATATCGAACTTCCTGAAAATTGAATTGATTCAAGGCAATTCTTTTTGCTGCACAATTAATTATAGCATTATCGGAAGATTGTATCGTTGCAGAAAATACTTGGTAATTGCTTTCTCCTAACAAGTCTGCACTAGGTTGGAAATTTGAATAATTCAGTTTAAATTGTTCCATAAGCAAATTAAGGAAGAGGTTTCCTAAGTCTAATTTACGAGTTTTGAAAAATTCTTTTATAACCTTTTTTTGCACATTTAACAAAGATTTCACTACTTGTTCTCTTTCATCAATCTTTTTAAGTGCTTTCTGAAGCGTTAATTTCAAAAATTTGGTATTCACATCTACTGCATGAATTTGTAGATCATTGAAAAAGTCAATTATGCATACATTAACTGCAGCTGCGAGCTGACCTCTTTGTCCGACATGTAGTAATTTGCCAATCTTACCAGCGAGCGACATGCTTCCACTAGTTAGAAGGGAAAGTAAACCGACTGTTAAGATTGCTAGCTGTCTACCTAAATCGAGATGACCAAGTAACGACACAGGTGCATTCGCCTTTATATAGTGCATAGCAAACCTATCGACTTCATAGATTTCCGAACCAAATACATTAGCACTCTCAAAATAGCCAATACCTTGCTTATATGGATTGAACGACGCTTCCGATGCTACTTGCTCATAAATTTCAATGTTTATAAGGTCAACATGTTTTGAAGCAAATTTTCTAAACATATTGTGAAGAATATTCTTGATTTCCGCTCCTTTCATTTGAAAGATATCAAGGATCTTTTCTTTGACTTTTTCTTTTATTACCTCATCAATATCTTGTGATTCGTTCAAACCACTTGAAAGCGTCTCTATATCACAGCTCTTCACAATATCCGGAATACTTTTGCGTACATGGTTTATGACTGGTACCAATGCTTCCCGCACTACATGAGTCACATCAGATATTACGGTTTCGTAGTATTTTGTAACGAAGTGCCTGATTTGTATGGAGCAGTATATTCTACGTGCTCTAGGCCGACAGT